CGGGCTTTGAAGCCGTGGTCTATGGGAATTTCTTCCTGACGTTTCGTCCACAACTGCGGTGGACATTATCAAAGGCGATGAGGCAGTGGGTGAGTCCATAAATACGACAGGGGATCCAGTAGTTGAACCAGTCTTAGTCGGAAAGCACGGGAGATCACTTCACCCACTGCCTGATCGCCTTTGATAATGTTCACCGCAGTTGTGGACGAAACGTCAGGAAGAAATTCCCATGAAAATCATTTCTATATGTGATTTGACCGGCCGTGAAAGCCCTCATAGTCTAATTAAGAAAACATGTCTGGATCACCTGCTATCAAGAGCGATTGGTCTTTTTTTTTTTAGAGAGATTTATACGCTGGATTTTAATCGAACTCGCTGTGAATTTGTTTCTTTATAAGACTCGGGTTATCATAAAGCAACCGAGTTCATTCGCATTGGGCAAGTGGTGAATTATTGAGTGTATTGATACAAAAACTATCAGAACTTTTCGTTTGCTAGCTGGAATCAACTGGTTTTTTTGATTTGATGTAGAACCCTTTCCGGCCCTTTTTTCGACTTTTTGTAAAGTCCATCCAAATTGCCTTCATCAGAAATCATCACGAAAAGAAGAAGCCAGTTTTCAGCAAAATATTGTCGGTAGACTGTTTGTCAACGAGAAACAATGTATGATTTTGGACTTATTTGTTGCACAAGTATTCGCAAAACTTACCTCAATTTACTCGCATATGTATCGACGCACGTCCGCATATTATTGAGCAATGAACTAACCGAGAGTTCGCTGCATTCGGAATTTTGCGGTAACAACAGCTTGGCTAGCTGCTTAATGAGAGCCAAAGCTCTAAGAACTTTCAACACGGCCTTATAGAGCGGTATGTGTCTAGCCATGTCTAATACTGAATCATTTCTTAGATAGGAACTAATGGCTGGGAGCAAAGCGCTGAAAAATTAGTTAAACAAACTGTAAAAACAACAAGTTTGCACAGCCTTTTAGTTTACCTTTTGGCTAACATCTCGGGAAACTGAGGCGGTAGAACATATCCGACCAGTTCTTCACCAGCTTCATCATTGGGGTTGATATAACTTGCCAATACATCCAATAAGACTGTCACATGCTCCTCTTCAGTTTTCTGTTTCATTAGGGCTTGCTCAACGTTCCAGCTTTGTTGGGTGGATCCAGTTCCGAATCCCGTACCTTTAATCACAAACAGAAAATCGCATTACTCATTTAAATTCAAATTCAGTTTACAGTCCCCACCTTTCGCCCAGTAAAGCTGGCGTTCTTCCTTCGTTTTCTGATTCTTAACGGAGTCCTTCTCATGATTGGTTGAGGAGTGATGCGTCAGCAGTCCCAGGCAAGACAGAATTAGCTGCACAGCTCCACTACTAATACTGATTCTTCGTAGAAGTCGGCCATCGTCGGAACACAAAGGGGATACGTCGTAAAGCTGGCGTAACACTTCAAATGGAAAGGTTGCCAAAGATGAGGCCACGGCCCACTGCAACATGTCTCGACCTAAACAAAACAAACAGTCGAAAAGTTAGACATTCGTCCAAAGCCCTGGCCAGTCTACCTTCTCCGTCGTCAGTAACGCCCAACATAAGTCTTAACAGACAAATCGCCTTTTTGGTGTCTTTTAGTAGCACGTCTGCATATCCAGGCAGTCGCAAAAACAAACTGAACGCAGTTAGGGAATGTGGAGGAATTTGCGAGATTGTTCCCGTCGAACTGGGCGATGCAGAGTTACTCATCACCTCTTCGATATCCTCGTATAGATCATCGGCATCTGAGAAAGTTGAGCACAGTAAAAATCATGAGTGACTCAGTGAGAGCTCAGCGCATACCTTCTAGCTTAATCCATTCGGATTCGGAGAAATCAGGCATCGTCTTTTCAGGATTTGCAACTCTGATCGCCTCAGGATATACTGTAGGTAAGTGCTGAGCTAAAAGAGCCAAGCCACCAATAGAGCTGAATGCCAGCAATGCGTTGCAAATGGGGTGCTGTTGTTGGACCATATAAATCGCTTCCTTGGTCTGATGTTTGCGTTCATCACCTACGAAATTGAGCCATAACAGACACGATTACAATAGCGAAAAATCGCACACTTACTTGTGCTCTCACTAACTGTGAGATGAAGAAATGGCCAGTTGTTCGTGATGTTTTTCGATTCGATGAGTAGCAGCAGTTGCCCCAAATTCAAGCTCAACGGAAGCGGTTCGCCGGGAAAAGCTTGACATGAGATGCATCGCCCCTCGATTATATCGTAGACCAGAGTCTCTGACGCGTAGCGCTTCTTCTTCGATTGGGGTGTGACAGCAGCAAGATTCTTAATGTCTTTAGCACGTTTGTCTTTAGCAGTATTTCCCGCGGCCATGCTTAACACTCCAAACTCCGCCACATAAAAGTCTTTGAGATGCGAGGTGTCTTTTTTTGATATGGTCGAAGACTTTTTGGACGATACCGATTCCGATTTGGAGGCGGACGCGTTGGGGGGGCACGAAATATATCCCTCCAAGATTTCGCCTAAACAGGTTGAAGTACTCATATACGACGTTCTGCGATGGTGTGTCTGTTTAAATGCCGGATGGACTGGAACGATCAGTTCAAAAATGTTGAAGTTTTGGTAGAGTGCAAAATTTGCTTCAATGATGACTGGCACTTTCTCGTTCTCCAGAAGCAACTGAAGTATAAGTCGGCGCAAAAAGCCAGAAATGTCGTTTTGCTGCAAGGATATCACTTCACATAGGACTGTCGCTAAACGAGCTTGATTCGTCGGATGACACAAACAGCATTTCGACAAAAACTTCACACAAATTTCTTCTAAATGTACGAGGGCCTCGGACTGCATATTGGCGCTGTTGAATGGATTCTTGCAGAGCCAATGTAAGAGCTGAGGCCAAAACGAAGATCCATCTGGGGATCCAAGCCAGTCTCTAAGCATCTTCTCATCACAGGCGTTAGTAAAGAACTGCAATATTGCGGCCACTTGCTCGAGTTTGGCCATCGGCACCGAACTGTCCTGGTCGTTCTTATTGCAAAATTCGTGAATGGCGTTATTCAACAGTTTCGGCAACCCTGAGTCTAACAGTTGCTGGATTGCGGTGGGTGACCTGCTAGCCAAAGCCACAGTCTCCAGTTGTTCTTGCGATAAATCCAATTCCGACAAATCCCGTATGATCAAATGACCATACCATTCGCAATTCGCGTAGTCTTCCTTGTGGTCATCCGTCATTCCTTCTGCATCTTTGCGATCATCGCTGATTGAGGCGGCTCGATCAGTGGACAGATTGGGCACAAGAACGCCGACTTTCTGCAGCAACAGCGGAAATAATTCGGAACGAATGTAGCACACGGAGCACAGAAGACAATCCAATGTATATTTTAAACTGTTGTTGGTGGTTCTCATTTTCAAATCGTAGATCGCATCAAACAGGTCCAGAGTTATAAGTTCCTTCAAGTCGTAGCCAATTTCGGCCTCTTTACTGAACCACAAGATGGATGCTATACTGGAAACGTACGTGGGGCTACAGTTTCTAGTATTCCCTGTTCGCAAGCATTCATCTGCGGTTGCTTTCAACCACTTTAGGACCATATCAACTCGATGGCCAGTATTGGCATCCTGAAAAAGC